ATCCACCTACCAGGACCAGGAGCTTGTAGCCTAACTGTCAACTCTTGCAAAAGCACTATCTCTTACCACACTAACCCGTCAAATCACAACCTTTATTTCAACCAGATCCCCAAGTGATTCATATACACACTGAAGTTGGAAAAATTCTGGTCAGAAAAGTGTTTCTCAAACTCCCCACTGTTGACATTTGTGTGAAATAACACTTTGATGCATGGTGTCCTGTGCTTTCTTGGCCACTGAGCAGGATCCCAGGCTTCCACCTCATAGGTTCTGTATAAATCCCAAGTGATTAAAAATCCAAAATTTCCTCAACAATTGCCACCCGTCTCCAGGAGGCCTGATCATGCCTGGTGGACAACTGGTGCCCTGGATCAGGAGAAGAGGGAACAAGCTCATTACAACTCAGTTCATAACTGGAGGCAGATCTATTTGTCTCTCTGGTCCCCATTTATACAAATATAAAATGAGTCATGACACTATTGACTTTATACAATATGCATCTATAAAAACTAAATGAAACAATCCTTGTAAGATTCTAACTTCAGTCCATGCTGCAGGTACATGCACACACGCGTGTGCACAGTCACACACACAAATACCTAAGTATATCACTAATAATTGCCTAATGTTTTATAAATAAAGGCATGAATGACAATTTTTTCCAAGGCAAACTGTGACACTATATTTTGTTTTTTGAAATGACAGTTTTTAACTTTAGTTCCAAGCATGAAATAACTAAGTGCTTTGTAAAAAGCTTCATGATTTCAAGAGTTGTGGTAAATTTCCAAGACTTTATAACAAACACAGTTCTATTCCCTAATGAAGAGACAATAGCAATTCTCTGAAGGGATTGGGGGCTGTGTCCCTCCAAGCCAGTGCTTGGTCAGTCCATGCATCTAGCAAAGTCAAGTAGCTTGGAGGAAATTGTAGCTAAGCAAAATGGGCAAAAAATGCTAAGGAGTGTAGATTTCTGGAAGGTGGAGGATTTTATGGAGAAAGAAAAACAAAGACCAGATTCACCTAATTGCCCTGATCTCGTGGGAATATAGAATAAGCAGGAACATTTCACTTTCTGCTCTGACCAATGTCCCCTAGGAAAGTCAGGAGCTCAGGGGATGGAGTGACGAGAGGACTGTATCTAATGAGAAGAGAGGGAGCTACAAGTAGCTGCCCTGATCTTGCCCCTCAGAGTGTGCAATCACACAGGCTAAGCAGGACGTTTTAGCTTGTTCTGGAGTCCTAAGTCTGGCTCAGGGGCCAGGGATTCACTCCTCCTGCTGTCTTGTCTGGGGACAGAGCTTCAGTCTCCACCATCAACTTCCACAAGGACTTCCACAAGGAGACCTTCTCAGAGGCCCCATCCATGTGAGCCTGAGACCTGGTAGGTCCTGCAGGAAATGTTCAGCAAGAACAGAAGCTGACAACATCCACCCAGCCAGCCCAGAGCTGAGAGAGCTGAGTGCTGACTCACTCATCTGCCACTGGTTAACAAGTTAAAAAGAGAAGCGACTCTCAGATCTGCAATGCTTAGATCATTGCTGACAACTGTATAATGGGGAAAAAGTCCAATTAGACAAGACTTGGAAAGTGTATCAGGTATTTTCCATAAAATGAGAACATATCCACGGAACTCCCCAGTAGCAGGTTGGGCAAAATGAGTCTCAGGGGTGGCGGGTTGTGCAGTGAGGTGAGGGCATTTCTTCTTTAATTTCAGCCTGGAGAGTATTCAAGCCATTTCCATATTCATTACAAAGGGGAGACTAGGGCTGCTTACAAATACTTCCTTCAGGGGACATACATCTCACAGCATCCTCTCTTGTGCTAGGTGGTCACATGAGATAAGTCTTACTTAATATGTTAGTGTAGAAAATTAAAGAGCTTTATTTTGCAATTTTTATTGCAAAGGCTGAGTCTATTTTAGCTTGTTAGCCTTTTCTTTCTCTTTTTAATTGCAAATACTTTGATTTTATGGGAACTGGGTATTTTTTTTAACTCTGAGAAGAATTGGAAGTTGTTTTCACTAAGACTGCTGTTTGCATTTAGTTCCTTTATATATGTATTGCCCTTTCGAGTGAGAACACATGAGTTAATAAATTTCATGTGGCCAAACCTATGAGTTGGTCACATTGCTGACCCACCCCTCCATTGTTTTTTATACTAAAGTTCTTCTTCACTATTGGCAGTAATTTAGTCCCTTTTATACCATTTTGCATCTCATTTCTTATCTGTTCTTCCTTATTACTCCCTTTTTGCTTTTGAGTTGGTTCTATTTTTATGAGTAGCAATCACCCCCTGTCCTCTTGTGGAAGGTATTTCATTGCAATCAAATGAAGATCACCTGTATCTTTCTCATATGCATGTTTCATACACAGGAGTTTCGTTACATCTACAGAGATCCTCTCTCTGCACAGTTGGAATAGGCACCTGACCCCATGGGCTTCCTGCTGGGATTTGGTGGGAAGATGCAGGTAGCACTCCTGGCCCACGTGCATGGTGGGAACTTATGAAGGGAGCAGTGGTGATGCTCTAACCTTGGTTGTTACTCACTCCATCGCTCCTGGCGTTATGTCCAGTGTCCTAAGCACATTTGTACACACGTATGTTTTTACAGGATGAAACTATAACCTTTGGATACCACTTCTCTCACTGCTCCTAAAAAAGTATTTTTTTATTATTTATTTCACAGTACTTGTCAATCTTGAATTAGAGACTCATTGTGGTAGTTATTTTAGTTCTTTTGATGAAAATTTTATGTTAGATTTTCATTCATTTCATTTAATGAATTTGATTTGCAACCATTTATTCACCTGATTATTCTTTTCTTATAGAAACTGTAAATTTATTAGTTTTTTTTCAATTAAACTGTCCACATTTGTGAAAACACAAAATGAAGAGAAAAGGTAGAATATCTTCTCACTTGGACCTTAGATAACGGCAAGTGTAGACTACACAGAAACAAATGCATGTATGTTATAATTTTCTCAGGGATAAATACTCTGAGGAAATATGGCAGAATATCAGGAGAGGGGCAGGATTTTATGGAGAGTATTATAGATCAGGGGCAATTCAGTTCCGGAATAATTCCAAGTTGTAATAGTACTCTTACCATGCCATTGAAAGTATTTGCTTTAATTTCATTGAAGTTTGTGCCTCTACATTCATCTAGAACAATGGCCTGTAATTATTTTTAGTACTTATCTGGCTAAACTGAGCTTATTATAATACAGACTCCTGACGCTAACCAAGAGAGAGAAATGAGGAGGGACACACTTTGGTCCACAGGATACCTTTTAAAGTAGAATAATGCATGATTCTACAGGCATGAGATTTCTAAAATTGTCACACTCATACACAGAATAGAACATTGGTATCAGGCCAGGGGATCAGGGGAAATGTGGGTCGTGTGTTTTGCGGTTGGAAAGTTAATTATATATGGTGATTAATTTCCAGACACCGGCTACACCATGAAGTACCAGGACTAACGATATAATATTGTGCATATGAAAATGTTCTGGTAGAGTAGACCTTAGGATAAATGGTCTTGCCAAAGAAAAAAATCAAGAAAACAAGAAACAATAGGGACCCAGGGGCACTCTTGGAGGAGATGCTTACATCTATGTGTTGAAGGGACAGCCAGAGTTCACAGGTGTCTAAACTCATCTCTCATCCACATAAAGTATGTGCACCTCCTTGGGGGTCAGCCACCTCAGGAAAGCCACCTCTAGCAACTGTCAGGAGAGAGCAGGGGAACAAAGGCCCCTCCTGAGAATCTCCACATCTTCACAGAAGCCAGGAGGCAGCTCCTTCCCTGTGGCTTCCTTTGAAATGAGAATGTGCACAGTAGGCACTGTCCTCAGGATTCTGCACCCTCACCTCTCCTGCCAGGCCCAGGTCTCTGCAGACCACCTGAGGGTGCCCTCCTCTCTTGCAGGCCTCTGCCCAAGTGTCACCTTTGACCCATTTACCTGGACCCCCTGAAGAACAGCCTCTCTATCTCCTTCCCTTCAGATCTGTCCTAGTTGGATTCATATTGATTATACCATGTGACATTATGAGGACAAATTATGAAGAGGTTTCTTGTTAATTTTTACCATTACATATCACTGACACATATGCATGTTGTGCCTTGTGATGTGTTTATCTAGGTACACTCTGGTATTTAAATATAGCTCCTCAAAAGGTATCATCATTTTATGGAGAAAGCTTTAGAAACCCTATTATACAGCTGCTTTTTTTTTTAAAAAAAATTATAGTTGCAGTTGGACACATACCTTTATTTATTTATTTTTATGTGGTCCTGAGGATCAAAACCAGGGCCTTATATGTGCTAGGTGAGTGCTCTACCACCGAGCCACAACCCTAGCCCCAAGAGCTGCTGTTTTTAATAATGGTCTACATACATTTGTTCTCCATAATGAAAACTTAGGGTCTTCTATTTTCAGCAGCCTGTGCCCATTGCAGAGCCAGGGCCAGGAACAGGATCGGAACTCAAGGCCCCTTCATCAAGGACATAGAAGGATTGTTCATTGGTAGAATACAAACCATGCTGAGGAAAAGGTAGAGAAGGACTGAAACTTCTAAATAGAAATAAATCAGCTTATCAGGGAACAAGTCTACTAAGTAGGAATGGCACTGGGGTCACCCTAAAAGGGATTAGTTTAAAAAACTACTCATGTTCAATTTTTTCTCTTCACAGCACATGGATTCAAAGAATTTCACACAAATTTCTGAATTTCTTCTTCTGGGACTTTCAAAGGACCCAGAAATTCAACACCTTATCTTTGGCCTTTTTCTGTCCATGTACCTGGCCAACATGCTGGGGAACCTGCTCATCATCCTGGCCACCATCTCAGCCTCCCACCTGCACACGCCCATGTACTTCTTCCTCTCCAACCTGTCCTTTGTGGACATCTGCTTCACCTCCACCACTGTGCCAAAGATGCTGGTGAACATCCAGACACAGAGCAAGGCCACAACATATGCAGGCTGCATCGTGCAGATTTACTTTTTTACATTGTTTGTAGGGTTGGAGAACTTTCTCTTGGCTGTGATGGCCTATGACCGGTATGTAGCCGTCTGTCACCCGCTGCACTACACGGTCATCATGAACCCCAGGCTCTGTGGACTGCTGGTTTGGGTTTCCTGGATCACAAGTGCTCTCAATTCCTTGTTACAAAGTTTAATGACGTTGCGACTGTCCTTCTGCACAGATGTGGAAATACCACACTTTTTTTGTGAACCTAATCAGTTGGTTTATCTTGCCTGTTCTGACACTTTCTTGAATAATATGGTGCTCTATCTTGTGGCAGGGCTGCTGGGAGGTGGCCCCCTCACTGGCATTCTGTACTCCTACTCCAAGATCGTTTCCTCCATCCGTGCAATCTCATCAGCTCAGGGCAAGTACAGAGCCTTCTCCACCTGTGCATCTCACTTTTCCGTGGTCTCCTTATTCTATTGCACACTCCTGGGAGTGTACCTTAGTTCTTCTATTGCACAAAATGCACACTCCAGTGCCACAGCCTCTGTGATGTACACAGTGGTCACCCCCATGCTGAACCCCTTCATCTACAGTCTGAGGAATAAAGACATCAAGAGTGCTCTGAGAAGACTCTTTTGTGAAGAAATTATCAAAGAGCCCATGTTGGTGGGTCTTTAAACATTGCTTTTGATCACAGGGCTCAAAGCCTCATAGTGAAAAATTAGAAATGTTTTTTGTTAGAATTTTGAAATATGACTTGTTCCTTCTATCCATTTCCTGGAGTTTCTCTTTCTTCGATTTCAACTTCTCTATGAGAGTCATAAAACACAGCTGCTAAGCTTTCTGCTCCCTCTGAGATCTGAGCAGTTTTCTTCCTCTTTATCATCTACATACATTCTCAAAGTGATTTTCAATCCTGAATTAGAGATATTGGAATTTCACACTTATCTCAAGGGACAACATGCATTTCTGAAAAACATTTTTTTTCTCAAATGATGGGTCATACCAAATGACTTTTCTTTTGTTGATATTAAAACACACTAATCTGCTGTCCTCCGTGTATAAAAAATGCATTTGACAGTTAAGAAGGCCTGTGTAATAATCCTATACGGGAGGGAATCCCACAGCATGGCTTTGCCCTGTGGGTCCCTCATGCCTCCGTGCGTCCCCATCTCAGCTGCTCTTCCTGATGAGGCAGATTCCAACAGACCAGTGAGCTTCATGGCTGAGCACTGGCTTTTCTTCTCACCATTGGGATTCTTTTCTCCTGGCCAGCTTGGTGTCCACAGTCTCTACTATAATCACTGGCAAAGCTTATTTTCAAATACATGTCTCCACTTGAAGTCTAGATGTAAAGAAAAAATTGAAATGAAAATATGATTACTTTGGCCTCAAAAACAGAGAGGACTTTAAATATGAGATAAACTTCTACATTACACATTGCATTACTTTGCAAATATGTCTTTTCATACTGCAATTATAATCACTGAAGTGGGGAAGGTTGGTGTTCATGTGTCAGGGGTTTGTTTACTGAGGACTGGTCAGCATTTTTTTTTTAGGTTGTGTTATTGAGTCATTGATGTGTTTCTGCTTAGAAATTTCCAGTGCTGCCTAGAAATATTAAACCTTCCATTGTTCTAAGTAAAATATTCCTCCCCTTTCTGAATTTTGCCACAGCACTATAAGGGTAGTAAATGAGCAATACCCATATCCTTCATTATATGTGTCCTTCAGGCTCAGAATGACTTCAGTCCTCAAGATCAAAGGATGGCTCACAAGGGAGATGAATTCCTGCCCCTCATGTGATTCCAGGCCATGGGCTCTCCCGAAAACGTACATGTGCTTTTCCTGAGCCAGAATTAGAAAACCAGATTGTCCCATTTGTTGAAAAAAAATCCTTATTAGACCATTTGCATTCAGGACTGCTTGTTCTGAAGCAATAGCTAGCTATTACAAAATCTAAAGGAAATAGAACTGAGGGCAATTGTAATAATATCCCAGTATGTATTTTTTTATTTGTTCTGATTTTAAAGACAATATTCACAGTTGAATACACAATGTGGGGTTAAAAATAGTCAGAAGTTTCAGGGATGAGGGCTTATACACCTGTGGTGTCTGTCCTTCTGTCTGTCACATCCTCTACCCACCAAGGAGCTCTGACCTAGGGAAGTGT